TGAGAATTGATAATTGAATTTTATGCAAAGTTTAATAGTGTCAATTGGTTTGATGTTATCATCATATATTACTTTATATATTATATAAGCGATTAATGTATTTTAATGTGTTTCTTTTTTTTCACAATTAGTCAATTATCATAATCAATTGTCGAGATTTAGTCTTGTCATTTGAGTTTCTCATTTTGTTTCATTGAAAATGAAAATTTTGACGTTTTTTGTTTTGTTTTGTTTTGTTTTGTCTCTCGATTCTGTTCTGTTTCCATGCTCTTCCTTCATGAACTCAAATCAATTTGTTCAATCGATCAACAAGTTACTATTATTATTATTATTAGAAACATTTCCATCCAATTCCGACGGTTCTATGTTATCTTCCATAGGCAATTATCATCATCCAACATCAACAGTTGTTGTTTTTAGATCTTGTTTACAAAGGTAAACATATCATGTTGGTGTGAAAAAGGAAAATATCAGATAATTTATCTATTATTATTGCAGTTTATGGTTCTCATTGGTGGCGTGAGAAATGCGGATAAGGAAAAAGGGATTCTGTCTCTAACAGTTAAGGTACATGTTCCGGTCACTAATCAGTAAACCATATCAAGATCGAATCACTGTTATTGGCATGTTAACAGGTCCTTGTTTTTGTCATTAGATTAATACATGATCAGTCTCAGAATTATATATATCTCTCTCACCAATAAGAGAGAGAGAGAGAGAGAAGAATAGAAAAACAAAATTCTGATAACTAATAATATGATAGTAATACTATTATGATATTTATTATATTGATATCTGATTCATTTTTGCTTAGCATTTGGGTAATGATCATTTTTTTTTATTGTATTAATTGAAACTCCCTATCCACTTGTTGTATCAATCAGAAATTAATTGACACATTGGATGATGATTATGATATAAATATCATCGTTTAATTTTCAATAGATATCAATCACAATAAACTTAATCAAATTAACCCAAAGTGTTTATAAAAGCATATGTTTAAATTACAGAGGATATTGAATAGGGAGTAAAGGAAAAAAAACCAAAGCCAATGGGTAATAATTGATTGAACAATTTACCATTTGATTGTGAGGTTTGAGGTTAGGTTATTAACAAGGATATTCAATCGGTCGGATAAAAGTTTATCCCATTTTCAATGATACAAAATTTGATATGCATTAAATCCCGATGATAGGAAAGGAAAAAGGTTCAGAACAAAAAGGAAAGAAAAAATATAATTTCGAGTTCGATTTATTATCGAACCAAACAATTCCCTATTGGCTTTGATTATTACTTTTCATGTAATAATAATAATGTGGTAGTTAACTGGGATGATGATGATGATGATGATGATGATAAGGAGATGGTGGTTGATGATCAAAGGGCAACTAGTAATTGATCAATATCGATACAATTATATTAACTGTTATTATTGATTGGATGCTGAAGGGCAGAAAATAGTTAATTTCGAACTTTTTTTCTTTAATCTTTTTTTCTTCCTCATCATTTTGTCCTCCTCTTTAATCATCCACCCTCACCTTTCATCATCTAATCCTTATCTTCATCATTTCACTCTCTCTCTCTCTCTTCTTCCTTTATTAATCATTAATTGTTGGAGCTTTAAACAAGATATTTGATTAACCATAAACATCTCACTCAATTGAATGGCTATAATTGATTCTTACCTTGACTATTATGATTAACCAAATTTTTAATTAATTATCGTGATGATGTTTGATATGGATTCTTGTTAACAGTTAATAATTAATCCACTGAATTGGAGTTTCAATGAAAAAAAAAATGGAAATGATAAAAAGCGATTTATTAACATCAAGAAAGTCAGAATTTATTTTTCGATTCTTTTTTTCTGACAGATTATCATAAATGAATAAATTACAAGCATTAACTTATTATTCAAATTTATCGAGGATGATAAACACTAGACTAATCATCATCATCATCATCATCATCACCATCAACAATGGTTTTCATTGATATGCCCAAAGACAGAGTCACAAAGAATTAAGTTAATTAAGAAAACACTAATCAGATCTTATTATTCAATTGAAAATGCAATATTATCATTTTGTAGGAAGGATGAAGATGAGCAAGATGAGGATGACAATGGTAATGATGATGAGGATGAGGATGAAGAGGAGGAGGAATAATAACTTGATGATAATAAGGATAACTTTTTATGTGATTTGAACCATAAAGACCTTGGTAAAAGACTTAAGGCTAATTTAATTCCTGTCTAACATTAAGGTGATAATCATTTTGATTATGATGATTTAGGCTAATGATTAACTGTTATACTGGGCAATACAATATATATAATATAAGATGATAAAATATATTATCCGATTATGAAAATGAGAGTCAATGTTATTAATAATAATCATAATAAATGAGGATCAAAATCATTGATTCAATTGATTATCATTATCAAATAAACAACAGTTAGACAATCAATGAGTTAAATTGTTTGCTTGAAGGAGCAATCAAAAAGCAAAGAGTCAAATGAATTGGATTCAAACAACAACAATTAACAAACAACAATTAAAATTTAACTACTGAAAACATTTTCTAATATTTAGATTAACCAGTTGATCTTATATATATATAATAATATGATTATATAATTAACTGATTAAACAGTTAAAGTTAGTGTGAGAATTGAAACAAATCAATGAAACAATCAACAATCAACTAAAGTGTAGGTGTTTCAATGATAATTATCAATTGATATACATGTTTGTTAGCTAATCAGTGATATGTTTATATTTGTTAATAATACATTTGATTTGATGAAAAAAAGTTCAAACAATTCAGATACACTTCTCAATGAATAACATGATAATTGTATATAAAGATTATCATTTATGAGTAAATAGTAAATGTAGAAAGTGAAAAGTATTATTTAATGTGTATAAGTTTTTATATCAATATTATGATGAATAATATTTACCAATTATTATCATTATGATCATCGCTAACTCTTCAGTATCATCTTAATGTCTTAATAATAATAATCAAACCATAATAATGATATTTTATATTAATCAACGTGTAATCAGTTGATTGATTTAGTTTCTTTTCCATGATAATATTTTCAACCAATTTTATATCATAATGATGACGATTAATTTTCTCACAATTTCATTTTCTTCTTACCTTCACCGAGGTCAATTGTTACTGAATTTCTCACACTGAATCTGAATCTATTGTTAGAATTAAAAAAAAACTGTTCTCTCTCTCTCTCTTCACCTTATTTTCTGATCTTCTCCATCTTCCTTTTATCTTTTTCATCATTTCGCCCTCTCATCTCATCTCTCTCATCTCATCTCATCTCGTTCTCTCTTTCTTTCTTTCTCTTCCTTTTATTTTTGGCAATAATATATCCAAATGTTTACTTTACTAATGGATCTTTCAGACCTGATCTTTGGTAAACAAAACGATAATTCGAGGAGGCCCAAGATGATGATGATGAGAATGAGAATAAAAATGATGACAAAAAGAAGGATGAGAAGGAAGATGAAGACCAAGAGTATGAAGGTAGAAAGAAGGAGGCGGAGGAGGAGGAAGGAGGAGGTTAGGTTATGTTAGGTTAAGTTGTGGATCTCGAGTTAATCTAAACTGTAATAAGAGAAAATAATTTCTTCAGGTCAATCATTGGAAGACATTTCCATGTCTCTTTTCATTAGTAGTAGGTGGGGATTCGGTTCCATTGGTCATTATCGTATCATGGACATTTACACATCGAAACTTTCATCATCATCATCATCATCATCATCATTAGTCAAATTATAAGGATTTTCTCACTATCATTTCTGTCAGATCAATGAGATAGTTATCAAAATCATTATCGTTACAAATGAATACACGGAATCGATTAACATGAAGAAGAAGAAGATTAAAAAAACGATATAGTCCAATTCTTATATTAGTTTCATTATAAGTGTGAGTCTCATTTCATGATAACTGTTTAGATGATTTTTAACTCATTCAATATTAATTTAAGAAATTAAATCTCTTATTATTAATAATCAATGTTAGTTGATATCCAGTGAGTAAACAAATTTGCATCTTATTGATTGTCAAACAGAATCAAGATAAATATTTGCCACTTTCACTTTCACTTTCAAATGATTATGATCATAAACAAGTTTTAATTGGTGAAATTAGCTTAGATTGATTGGCTTTTTTTTGAGTGGATATTGAACAATTAAAGTTAATTCATCTTTAACCTTGAATCCAAATTCAATTGTCAAGTTAATTACCAATCTCATGCTTCCATCTTTTGGTGACTTTGGGAAGCTTCACATTTTCTCAGTTTCCAAATTAAGTAATTGGTTGTTGAGAAATGATTATGAAAGAAATTGATTGAAGTTGATTGATTTTCCAATTGTTATTGTCTATCAATGACTTCGATCAAGATGAATACATTAAACTAATGCTCACTAATCACCAAGAGAAATGGTTCCAAGTTGTTAGTTGATTAAAAGATGAATATTTTTGGATCAATAGGTGACTAGTGACATCTAATGAGAATCGAAATTACTGAACAATTGTGAGTTTAAATTGTTAACTATTCTTTTCACATTTAATCTGATTTTGAATTGGAAATCATTCAATCAGTTGTTGTGAAGTTTTGGACAGTCTCGAAAATTGGGTATTAATCGAGTTCTAATTTAGTTTGGAAATTTTTTTTTCGCTTTCGAAAGTAAAAAAAAAACTTTTTCTTCGTGAAATCGAATCAATGAATTTGAATTAATGAAAAAACTTTGAACGAAAAATTGATTTCAATTGGAAAGAGTAACAGATGAGGTTCGTTGTATGAAATAGAAGAGGGAAAAAAGGACAAACAAAAAGTTCTGATTGTTGTTGATTGTTGTTACGATTTCATTCATTCCTATCACGAATGTCACACTGATTCGACTCGAAACTTTTTCTTTTTAGTTTTTTTTTTCTTTTCATTACTTTTCCATATCTTTCCATCACAAGTTATTCGTGATTCGTGACTTGTAAGTTAACAGTTATCACTAGTTCACTATGCCAACAATGTCGAAACTTTTTTTTACTACAAGTAAACATAAACACTCACACATATTGAAAGATATAAGAAAGACAAAGTAAGTTGACTTGTCATGATGAAATTTCATCATCATTCATGAAATGATTTAAAATAAATAATTGGAGTTAAAAGTTAACCTGTTAAACTATGTCAAGATGAAGATCATTATTTCATTCACAGTTTACTAATTTTCAATCAATTCAAACTCATCAATAAACTAATCGTATGTGTAACAATCATCATCATCCAACATCACCATAAATTACCATCAAATTTGGGATAACAACAATTAACTAATTGTATGAGTATTTGTGTTGTACAAGAAGAAGGCAAAAAAAAAGTTTGTGTCTACTTGTTGGTTATCAATCAAAATATATTTATTGGAATTGAAATTTTCTTCCGTCTTCATTTCAAATGATCAACAAATTATCACCATCATCATCATCAAATAATCACCATGAACTCAACAATTAATTTTAATGATATAATTGAAGATTCACTCGGCCCAAGCCGAGCAATTTGCCTTCCATGGTTAATCCTATTATCTTTTGTCTATGGATTAATATTTGTCGCCGGATTGATTGGCAACACAGGTAATAAACAATTTAAATTCTTGACCAATTAACTGATTTAGGATAATTTAGACTCTTAAATCAATAACCTTAATTGCTTTCCAAATTGTGAGCTTAAATTGCCGATGATTATTAGACTATTATAAATATATCGAGATTGAATTAGAAGTTGTGGAAAAATATCAAATTAGCATTAGTATTTCATCCATGTGTAAATTTATCATTTCTCTTTAATTACTGCAAACTAATTATATACTTAAATCTAATAATAATTAACTCCCATTGATGAAAATTTATATTTAAATTCAATAGCAACTTTATCCTAATTGCGATTATTATTTTTCTCCCTCTACTTTTTGTTTCTCATCTCTAAAACTTTTGGCTTAATTCCCATAATCTTAATAATGGAAACATTTACCAACATTTAAATGGTTACACCTTAATCATCACCATAATTAACTTAATCATCGTTGTAGCTACGATTCTTGTGATACTACGTTTCAAATACATGCAAAGTGTAACCAACCTTTACTTACTCAATTTGGCAATTGCTGATCTATTAACACTTTGTGCAGGTAAGATAATAATGATAAATTCATTGATAACCGTTAATCAATTTGTTAAACAATTTAAATATCCTCAAGCAATAATAAATAATCAACAGACAGACTATCAAAATAAGATAGTAAAGTAAACAGGAATCAAAACCAATGTATCAATGACAACAAAGCAAAGGTATACAGAGGAAGAGAGAGAGAGAGAGAGAGAGAGAGAGAGAGAGAGATAGTTTCATTGATATTTCAATGGTTTATTATGTTAACATGTGAATTTCATGATGATAATGAATCGATTCCCTGAATTTATGCTCGTTTTTAATGATCAATTCAAGAATCAATATCCACTTTTTATTCAATAAAAATGATTACCATTGATTATCATTATTGTTTCTATTAGAATCATGATAATCTTTTATGGAATGGAACTTCTTCTCACCTTCTCTTCCTGATTAAATGATTTGGTGATATTTTCTGAACACTGACCTTGAATAACCTTACAAATTTTAGTAATTCAAGTTCTCGAAAACCTTAATGAACTTTCTTCCTGTCTAAATGTGAACAACATGTAACCAAATTATCATGTTGTTTATTCATTTTATTGTAATTCAGTAACTCAATGATAAATATTTACTTGAAATTGAGTCTCGATTGTCAATTGATTAAGTTGATTTTGTATTCGTCTGGTGAATAGAAAACACAAAGTTTCATTTCTCATTGTGATATTCAGGTATCATGATTATCGTTATTCATTCAATTTGAATCTTCTATTGTTACTTTTATGTCTTTTTTATCTTTTCTTTTTTTTCTCATTCACATCATCAATATAATCGTCATCGTCATGATGGGTGTGATGAAGATAATATTATCTTACTATTTAAGACAAAATCTCGACTACAACCTTTCTAGACGATCAATAGTAGTATGACAAAAGTTTCAGTTCTTTAGTATCATGAGAATCAATTTCAATCCATAGATTTACAGACAAGTTCTGAGTTCTTTTCATTGTCTTTTTCGGTAATGTAGTCGAGTTCTTATTCATCATGATAACATTCATGTATCATATGAAAATGTCCTTAAGGTTATTTAAGTCAACGAGTTTTCCATGTTACAGAAAAGCATCAGGGTTATCACTGAATCTCCAGATTGAACATTTATCCAGGGGACTGAGAAGAATGGAAATTCAGTCTCATATGATGAAGAAAAATTCTGACTTTAAGAACAAAAATTCAGCTGATCTTTACACCAACTTATATTCAGCTTGATTCCACAGACTTAAGTTATACTATTTACTATATCTAGTAAATAATTCAATTTAGAAATAATTGATTCCAATGAATTGATGGAAACAGTTCATGGTAAACTTCAATCGTTATCATGGGAATCGTATCTGGATATTTACATAATTTATTTACATTCTAACTTTTAATTAACTTTTATCATGATTAAATAATGTTAATAACTTTTCTGATTTTGTTGCGATTGAGTAAATTAATCACAGCCCCATGAAAGTGGTCAGAATTTTGGTCAATTATCATATTCATGATGATATGGAAATGAAAATTTCAAATATAAATCAAGATTGAGGTTATCAAATGAGATGGACACATAATTGGTGACAATTTCATCTAATATCAACAAGGCTGTTAATCACTTCCGTTCAGGAAAAATTCATGTGATTAAATATTGAATATATTATAATAATTAAGGTTATTCAAACTTCCTCTTTCACTTTACTGACAATTATGCTCATGAATCTGAATTGATTAAATTTTTTATTGAAATAGGAAACAGCGACTTTGATTTACTCATAATCTTAATCAGATTTATGTTCTTAATCTTAATCCTTTTGTTTTTGTTTCCTTTGCAATTTGAAACTTTTCAATTTGCAACAAAAAAAATCACTGTGATCAAATAACTAGATCATGATGATAACATGATAAGATTAAGTTGTTGGATTAACTTCTGTAAGAGATAAATAAAAAAGATCTTTTAATCCAATCGGAAGAATAATATTTCCATGTTTATCATGGATTGAATTTTTTTTTCTTCCTCCTAATTCAAGTTAATCTCATTTCGAACTGAACTTTTCTTATTGTTTTTTTTATCTTCATGATAAAGAAAAAAGTTCTGACCTGAATAACACCTTAAGTTTATTAAAAAAAAACCGAGAATGGTCAATGTTGAGTGGTCACTTTTTTTCAGAATTGGGTCAACATGATCAAATCATGATCCGAATTATGAAAGTTTGGGTTTTCAGATTAACATGTTCAGTTGATTTACTTGAAATTCAGATGATGCTGATCAATTCATGTTGAACATTTCAGAGAATTGATTAAGTTAATTTGATGATTAAGATTCGATGAGCTTAATTATTTGCTAATTGTACTTGAGTCACGTTGATACAATTACTTAAGACTGATCATGATAACAATTTGATATAAAAGTATTGACGTTTTTTAATTGCTCATTAGGTTACCTAATCATTTATCTTAATTGGTAACATTTGCAACAATTAATTACATTGATTATAAGGTAACAATTTAATAGTTGAGGGCATCAAACTTGTTTTGACTAATTTTAATTGCTGTTGATCCTGAGTTTTAATTGAAAACGTCAACAAGAAAGTATCATGAATATCAACAGTTATGATGATTAAAAGTGAGAAAAGTTAATTAAATTGTATCAAATTTGATGATCAAAGTTGCTATCAAATCAAATTTCCAACAATCATAATGATTAAATTCTGTGAATATTTATAATATTTTACTTTTAAGTTAATCCATTAATAGTTTGAGTTGATTGAAATTTCGTTTAATGTGATAATTAACTTTTCTCATCTTGATTACAATTAAGACTTGCTGCCAATGTCATATTCATTCATTAGATGATGATGACAATACAATCATTCATAAATTCCTATTCTTTTATCGTCATTATCATGGATCATCTTTGTCTCCACCATGAAATCTGATTATGTTCATGATGGAATACACATTCTACCCAGTTTAATTTATCTTTTCTCGTCGCCTATTCACCTAATTCTTGATTATATTAACTTGATCTTCATCCAAATCACAATGAAGATGAAGAATTAATGAAAAAAAACCTTCAAGGTGAAAAGATGATGAAGATTAAGACAAAGATTAAGATAATCCAAGAGCCAACAAAAAGAGATTCTCATGTTCTGATGATTATCATGTTACCAGGAAGAAATGAAAGTTTCAAGAATGGAAACTCTTTGTTCAGAGTAATAACAACAATTAGAATTGAGCTAATCAAAGGAACGATAAAAGTTCATCTCATCTTTAGAAATATTCACAAGTTCAAGATGATCAGAATTCGTCTTCAGATCGTTTGCCTTCATGGGGGAAAAAAGGAACATGATTTATTATCTCATCTATTCAGAGTTTCAATTGAAATTCTATGGAGAAAAAAATTCTCATGTAACATTCTCACCTCCTACACTTAGAATCACCTGAATGTCTTCATTCAATTGATGATGATGATCATCACTTGACTATTATTTAATTAATATCATCTTTTCATCTTCATCAATGTTTCATTTATTATCAATCATGATGAAGATAAACAGTCAATGGTCAATCAGAATCCTTTTCATTCATCTTGCTTGGTCATTCATGATCCAGGGGATGGGAAAAGAAACCTTTCTCAATTATATTTACACCGAACGATAAATAATCATCCTTTTCATCATCTATTCTGAATCATCATGTTTACAAATGATCATCATTACATGAGGCTCAGAACTTTTTTCCTCTCCTTCATGGTTATAATAATTGTTATGATTAATATGAAACTAGATGGAAACATTTTATCAACTCTTAATATCATTACAATGTTAATATAATATCATCATGCTGATAATGAATAAATAATAACAAACTTTGACTTGACAATTAACTAACTGTGATTAGTGTAGGTAATTTAATGATCAATCGGATATGATTCCATTAATTTATTCAGCTTACCTTTCATGTAAACATATCAAATGAATAGTTAATCAAATGAGTTTACATGATGATGATGATAATCATATTGATTATCACCACAAATGAGCTTCCTTTTCATGTTACTCAATATTTTTCATAATCTTTTCCGATTCCAGGATAATCATGACTTTTCCCACCACAATCATGTTCAACAATTAGAATTCAATAAACTTTATGTAATAAATAATTACTAACAATTTGTTGACACCAACACTCAAAGGGATATTCATGGTGTTCATGAAGATTTTGATTATTTAATAATTGAAACAATTTCGTTATAATGAACTTTAATGTTAATCGATTTGTTTGTGGCTGATATTTTGTTTCATTTATTATGAATCTCTTACTGTCATGGTAACTTCATTCTCTGAATTTTTCAATTCTATTAGTCGTTTGTACGATATCTGTCACTGAGTTTAGAACATTTCAAAAATCAAAATCGAAATGAATTGTGTCTTTTTTTTCCACTCGAATTTTCAAAGTTTTTCTCTTGTTTTTTATTTGCAACTTTTTTCGCTCGAATTTTTCTTAAGTGAATCAATTTTTGTTTTCTACTTTTTCTCATATTGAATTTCATTAAATGAAGATAACTTTCTGATCAAGTTACATGAGTTACATGATTTTACATGATGATGACACTCAGATGACAAAGAATAAAAAATGTTATCATTGTTTCTGTTGACAAATTGTTGAGAGAGAGATGTCAATGTTATCGGTATCATTACTTTGTGAAACTGGATCATGATGATGATGAACAATGAAAAATATCATTGGGAATCATTTCAACATTTCTCATGATGATCTCAGGGTAATAATGCTAAAGGAAAGGAGATAAAAAAAATAAAGAAAATTGTTACGTACAAATTTTGTAGAATTTTCAATTTTTTCTCTTTTCTGTCTATTCTTCCCTCAAGTAATAATAACATTATCATGAACCATTAGAAACATCATGTCATCGATGAACTTAAACTGAATTCTAATCAATCAAAGAATTACGAGTTATATGAA